TCAAGCGTCAGGTGAATACATGGCGAAGCACCCAAGGATGATCTTGTACCTTGACAAAGTCCAAGAGCTATTGAAGGCGTTCCCAACCTTCACCATCCAACAGGTACCACGGGCAGAGAACGCGCATGCAGATGCTCTGGAAAGCTTAGGATCAGCGCTGGATACCCAGTTCAGACGCTCCATCCCGGTCGAACACCTTGACCGGCCAAGCATCGAAGAAATAGAGCCAGTCAACACAATACAAATCAACGAGGACCCCAGCTGGCAAGACCCCATCATCGACTACTTGATGAATGGAAATCTGCCAACGGACAAGACCGAAGCCAGAAAGGTCCAGCAGAAGGCCGCGAGGTACTACATACACGACAACAAGCTCATTCGCAGATCATACTCCGGCCCTCATCTCACCTGCATAAAGTATCCTCAAACACTTGAGGTTCTATGTAAAATTCACGACGGCGAATGTGGCAATCACTCTGGGGGCAGATCACTCGCCCAGAAGGCTCTAAATATAGGCTACTTCTGGCCTACCATGCGCCACGACTCCACCGAATATGTCAAGAAATGTGATCGCTGCCAGCGATACAAGCCAATTCCTAACTTGCCTGCCGAAGTCTACCATCCGCAAAACAGTCCCTGGCCATTCATGCAATGGGTCATTGACCTAGTGGGTCCCTTGCCACCAGCGCTTGCCAAGAAAGACATGATGATCGTTTCCACCGACTACTTTACTAAATGGATTGAGGCCGAAGCTCTAGCCTCTACCAAAGAAACCGATGTAGAACGATTCATTTGGAGAAACATCATCTGCCGGTTTGGCTGCCCACAGTCACTAGTAACCGACAATGGCTCACAATTCATCGGCAAGCACATCACCGCCTTCTTCGCAAAATACAAGATCAAACAACACCTGTCCACCCCGAGGTATCCACAAGGAAACGGACAGGCCGAGGCATCTAACAAAGTCATATTGGACTGCTTGAAGAAAAGGCTAGAAGGCGCCGAAGGGAAATGGGTAGATGAACTCCCCGGAGTACTATGGGCTTATCGCACCACCAAACGAAGATCGACTGGCGAAACTCCATTCTCCCTCGCCTATGGGACGGAAGCGGTCATCCCTCCTCACATCACTGTCCCCTCCTTGAGCCTTGAGGTGAGCAGTGTTGATCAGAACTCTGAGCAGATGAGGCTCAACCTCGACTTGCTTGAAGGCGAACGAGAGAAGACTATTGTCCGGGTTGCTGCCTATCAACAACAGTTGAAGTCTTACTACGACAAAAGAGCAAAGATCAGACAGTTTCAACCAGGCGATCTCGTATTAAGAAAAGCTTTCATCACTGCACCGAGGCAAGGGTCAAAAAAGATGAATCCTAACTGGGAAGGCCCTTACGTAATCAGCCGGATTGGAGGCAGAGGAAGCTACACATTGGACACCATGGAAGGGAAGGAAATTCCACGACAATGGAATGCCTACCATCTCCAAAAATATTATCCATGACACTTCCTCCTGACTGCTCAGTCCCAAGCAGATGACTGAGCCATGCACACCTCTGAAGAAGAGAAGCAACCGTTAGAAGTTTCTGGTTTTTGTATTCAGTTATCTCCATTCTCGAATAAAGGCACTGTAATCTTATTATGAATATCAATATAAGTTCAGTTTCCCATTCTAGAGTGTCACATCTGCTTACTCATTCCAGAACATCTCCATATAAGTCGCCCATAAGTAGCGTCCTTCGGGAGACGCAGGGCGACGACCAGAAGCGTCCTTCGGGAGACGCAGCCCCCAAAAAAGCGTCCTAAGGGAGACGCAGGGTGCGCTAGGAATTTCTTAAAAGGAGGTCTCCATGCCTCCTGCGGGAAGTATCCAGGTTCCTATCCGTTTCCTAAGGGAGGCAGGATAGTCACATAAGTTGCCCATAAGCAGCGTCCTTCGGGAGACGCAGGGCGACGACCAGAAGCGTCCTTCGGGAGACGCAGCCCCCAAAAAAGCGTCCTAAGGGAGACGCAGGGCGCGCTAGGAATTTCTTAAAAGGAGGTCTCCATGCCTCCTGCGGGAAGTATCCAGGTTCCTATCTGTTTCCTAAGGGAGGCAGGATAGTCATATAGTTGTCCATAAGCAGCGTCCTTCGGGAGACGCAGGGCAACGACCAAAACATCCTACGGTATATGCAGAATACGCTCGGAGTCCCTCAAGGGGGACCCTGGCTCTCGCCAATTTCCTAAGGGAAAAGCATCCTACGGGATATGCAGAACACGCCCGGAGTCCTTCAAGGGGGACCCTGGCTCTCGCCAATTTCCTAAGGGAAAAGCATCATATAAAGCATCCTACGGGATATGCAGAACACGCCCGGAGTCCCTCAAGGGGGACCCTGGCTCTCGCCAATTTCCTAAGGGAAAAGCATCCTACGGGATATGCAGAATACGCCCGAAGTCCCTCAAGGGGGACCCTGGCTCTCGCCAATTTCCTAAGGGAAAAGCATCTTACGGGATATGCAGAACACGCCCGGAGTCCTTCAAGGGGGACCCTGGCCCTCGCCGATTTTCTAAGTGAAAACATCCTACGGGATATGTAGAACACGCCCGAAGCCCCCCAAGGGTGACCTCGGCACTCAGAAATCTCCAAAGGGAGATGCGCCATCAAAATACAGGCTGGTTACTCAAGCAGTCCACAAGCCAATATGCAAATTGAAGTTGAAAAAAATAAACTGAAATTTCCATATCAAGCAGACCAACCGGCCAAATTCAACAAAAGGAAGATGGTCGAATAAGACCAATTATTCTAAACAAGAAAGCAGACTACAAAAGCTGAAAAGAAATAAAGAAATCTTCATCTACTCCGATACGTTGGCGGGAGGTCCTTGATCTGCAGTCTCTTCGGCATCCGCCCGACCAGCCCTGCCTGCTCCACGACATCTGCCATTACATCCTCCTCAGCCGCATCCGCTCCAACTACCTGCTCTTCGGTTCCTCCTTGCACATGGGACAAGTCAGGGCAGAGCATCTCGATGTCTACATCTTCAATTGCATAAAGAGGAGCAGCCCCATCCACACAATGCAGGTAGCCCAACTTGTACGCATCTATGGTGGCTTCAGACTTGGATTTTTCAGCAGACTCGTGGTGAGCACGGAACCTAGCCAAGAGCTTATCATAGCTATGGGAGATGTCGGCATTCTTGCGCTCAAGGCGGAAGAAAGCATCTTTTCGACTGGCCAAATCAGCAGCAGAAGAACTGAGCTCAAAATCCTTCTCAGCAAGGGAACTTTTCAACTCTGATATCATCGCCCTCAAATCAGACGTCTTCTTCTCATAACGGACCTGTTCAGCAGAAAGCTTACTAACTAGCTCAACATTCTTCTTCTCCAGCTCGCTGAGCTGAGCAGAAGAGGGGGCAATAGCAGATGAGTTTCGGATAGTCTCAGCAGCAAAAATCACCCCTTTTTGAAGCAAGTGAAGTGACGCTTCCCTTTGTTTTTCCAAGGAGAGACTCGAAAAAGTGCCAAGATCACCGGCCTGACGGATGTGATCAACCAACTCAACACAAGAGGATGAGTTTGATAAGAAGTTCGTCTTGAGCAGATCAGACACGCATGCGTCCCCTACAGGGTGGGACTTATTCACCTTGGGATCGACTGCCGATGCTGAAGGAGAACCCTTTGCCAAGGCAGACGACTCTCTCATCCTCTTAGCTTCCGCCAACCTCGCCTGCAAAGGAGTCAATGATGCAGAACCAACTCCACGCTTGACTGCCCGTGCCTCAACAGCTGGACCATGAGCAAGTCTCTGCATTCGATCCCCATCCTTTGACTGATGCAGACGACTCGAACTTCGAAGAGGGACATCTGCATCTCTTTGGCGCTCGGCAGAACGGGATCGGGCACGAACTATCTCACGGAGCAGATCATGATTCTCACCAACCCTCTTGCCATCCGCGCCCACAAGATGTTGGTCCCGGGTAGATGACGATGGGACAGACCCCGCTTGAGTCTTCTCAGTAGAAGAGAGCCTCGGCTTTTTCCTCGATGGAGACGCATCCTTCACCCGTGAAGAAGTAGCTTCATGTCTTGAAGACCTGACGACAACCTTCTCCTTTGAAAGGGATTCGGCAGAGCACTCTTCTTGCCCGACAAGCAGATCATCAGGGTCAGGA